ATATATAGATAGATAGGTATATATACACTAATTTCTATTCTTCTTTTGCACTGAGGTAATTGCACCTCAATTTCCCTGTTTAATGTTTCATTGCTATAATGTCAATACAGATTGTGATTCTGATACTGTCTGACTCTGAGGCTGCATTGGAAACTGACCATACAAGCAATGGAACAAAACTGCTGGACAGACACCTTAATGAGCACAACTACAGCTAACATGTGTTTATTTTTAAATGACAGATGATCTGTACAAACAGATCATTTACTCATCAGGGGCCAGATCTGTTTTAACAGTTACATAAATACTGAAAATAGGCTAACAACACTCTGTCATGAGCAGTCCCACTACCGACTGGTGTTATCTTACCTTCACATCCACGTGAATCGTGCTATCAGAGAATCCCTTTGGACACGTACTTTAAAAAGAGAAAAGAAAAAAGAAAACATGAGTTACAGATTAGCCCTCCAAATACACGTCAGTAAGTTAGCCTACGCCAAGTCACTGCTAGTTCTCTGCTGACTTAAACTGATGTAGCTTTAGTTACAAGTAAGGTCACATTACAAGATCACAAGTTATTTTAGTCTTTAACTTGACACTTTATCACTATTGTTTCTTTAAAATAACCGTGCACGTATCATAACAACATTAAAGGTGAAGGTTCAACCTGACACACGTCACTCGCTGAATTTAGAACAGCTGCAGCTTGAAATTGGACAATGCACAAGGATTAGGCTGTTTTTACCTCTTTCCATGGTCCATGGTTACATTACGTTCGCTTCCCAAGTAAAGGAAAATCTCAGGGTGCTGTCAAGTTTCCTTACTTTGAACGAACATTGTGCGTTTCACTTCCTGTTTTACCAGCGCGCCCTCTACTTGCCTCACTGCCTAACATAACAGCAACAATGTGACAGCATTTCACATTGTTGCTGTATTAATTCAATGCATTTGATTTGATTTAATAGAAACAAGGCTATCGATTTCATGGGGATTTCCAAGAGGAAGCATGGGACACTCCCACCAATCATTCAGCTCAATAATAATAGATAAATAATTAAAACTAGGAGTTACAGAATATAATAATATTATACTATATTATAATATTGCCTTCTTGTTAAATGGTAAGGTGCCTTCCATATGTGGCCAGTGACGGTTTATCAGTTTACAATAAAAACAGCTGTCCACCTGCAAGTAAACCGTTTTTATTATATGTGGCAAAAGTGCCACAGCTTCAAACTGGAACATACACAGCATTATAGGTGCATAGCAGCATATGGGAGGCTACTAAAAGTCAAAATTCAAATTTTGACAAAGTTAGACAACCTTCTGGGAAGGTACTAAGGAGTGCTTGTGATATTGTACAAAATCCTAATTACATGTGTATGGGACTTTACACATATGCCTGATGGATGGAGATGCCATCAGGCACCCCCAGGATGGACCCTGCCTTTCACCCAATGACAGCTGGGATAAGCTCCAATCAGCTTGTCAGTGGCTGATTAGCGCCATTTGTTAGGAACCTTGACCTCTACAATAACATCACTCAGTAGAACCACTCTGAAATTAAGTCACGGACACAGTGATTGACTACAATTAAGCATTTTTATTGAACATACATCCATCTTAGTTGTCATAATAAATGGCTTATGTCAAGAAGTGCAAAACCACACACACTTATGAAGAAAGAAAAATGTCTTTGGCGAGATGCCCCTGATCTTGTTAACAAATTACCTACTGTACTGTTAGTTAAACGTACCCTTCACACAACTTCAGTTTAAGTCTCAGAAGAACTTAAGTCTTTCTCAACAAAAAAACAATAATACCCACAAGAAGAAGAAGAAAAAAAAAGAATCTGTCCATAATGATAAAGCTAATGATTTCATAAAAATGATTAAAGCAACTATTTGGTTCATGAACATGTTACAGAATGTTGTACATGATTTGTAATATAAAGTGGTTTTGAGATTTTATACAGTTCCGTTATTTTTTCAAAGAATCAGACAATATGAAAAATAGCTCATCTTTCGACGACATGTACCACAATTACACAATGACATCTTCTAGCTTGCGGAAAGCATTAACGGATAAAGCACTTTCGAGTTTGTTTAGGCTTTGATGGGCAAAAGTCAATCAGCTTAACTGTTTATGCAGAAAGTTACTTTCCTTTTGTGCTGGAAATTCTGGGAAACCATTTTCTCCTCGAGCCGTAAAACTAACGGCTGAAACATTTGTGCTTTTCAGAATTGCAATTTGTGCATCTTTTCAGGTACTCCAAGTAGATTAATTGCATGGCATAATGGTGTAGTCTCATCAGTTGTGGCTACTTAAAGAGATTAGACATAGATTTCTTTGTGGAGGTTTCACAAGGCATCTTTTATTTGTGTTTATCATCTATGGCATACCACTAGAAGCTCAGGAGGCTAGATTGTCAGCATTCAAACTCCTAAAATAACGGGAACTGACAACTATATTCTTTTCCTCTACCACATTGTCTTTGTTTTGTAACAGCAGTGCAGCATTATACATATTGTACCATGCTGTACCATAATAGTCTCATAAAGGTCCTGTTGTGCAAAAGCTTATTTTTAAGATACTCTGGTATCCATAACAGCCAATGACTTATTTCATTACCTTATGCTCATGTCTAATAAGAAACTAATCTCTAATCTTCCCACTAATATGTACATGTATATATTTTTTTGACTGCTTATCCAACTACAGTTACAAGGTTACTGGAGCCTGCCATATCAGACATTATGTACATCCTGGACACGTCTCCATTCAAACTCAAACTTAGGGATAGAAATGTAAATTTACCAAAGATGGAAATTGAAGCACCATGATGAAAACCACACAAGCTCAGAAAGAACATGCAAACAGAGAAAGGCAGGTTCAAACTGCTCTGTTGGGTTAAATACTTATGTTAAAAGTAATTTGTGTGCAAACTCCTTGCTTCATAACCATAGCCTTTATTAAATCCTCATTTTAATACAAACTTATACGGGATGAATGTCTAAATGAAGAAAACATATATATATACATTAAAAGTAACATTTCCTTTCTTGATTGAACAGTACAAATGCAGATGACTGGAAATATAAACCCTGGTTTTAAAAAAGAAAAGAAAAGAAAAAAAAAGAAGTCACTTTTCCAGTTGACTAAAATTAGCCTTAATGTGCCTTCAATGAGACGTTAAATGTTTCATGTATGAATAGCAAAGCTGAATAATGTCAAAACTGCGGTGATATGAAAATTCTATACAAATAGTGTTAAAAGTTATGATGTTTTTTCACTGTAAAGCTGGTGAAGGTGATAATTCATTAAAGTGACTTTAAAATGTGAGGTGTGATGTTGCCCGTCTCACGTGTAATCTCTATGAAGCTTAACATTCAGTTCATGTTTTTGGTACCTGCTTTCTCTGGGTCTCTCAACATAATGGAAGCCTAGCATTGTCCATCAAATTTCTGCATTTTTAAGGGGGTAGGCACATACTACAAACATTCAACAAATCAATTTTAAAAATGATTGTATACAAAACAAATCTGCTGCATTCCCTACTAACATTTCAGAGGTCCATTTCTCACACATTACAACAAAATGGTAAGAAGGTAATTATCTACTGCTAATTTAAGACTAGATTTAAACAACCGTAGCATCTGCAAGATAAATACCATTTGTGCAAAAGAGGAACTGTTCTCATGAAGATTTGTTAATGCACTAACACTTCCCTATCACTAGTGAGACTTACATAGCAACAAAAACAGACAAAAGGCAGCATGGTTTTGAACTGCTGAAAAAGCACTTTAGAAACATGAGTCTAACAGGACATCCCCCAAAGTCTTGTTCTGACATCCCTGTACAATATCAGCTTACATAAACACATACTTTGGGTAAATCCACATCATACTTGTCCAAAAATGTTTCTGCTGTGTGTTGTTTTATTACATAGTTCACTACCTGCAGAGAACAAATAGCTTTGCAGAATTGTTGCAAGCACCTGGCAAAGAGAGCTACATTCATCCTAGGCAGTGAACGTCCTGTTCTGACAGCACAACTTCAGCCATCATATGTATCAGTAGCTTTTGTTGTACGAGAAGGGCAAATGAAGGACTCTGTGTGCGTAGTCTGAAGTCCCAATTGCCACAGGATATTAAAGGGCCTTACAGACCAAATATAACCCAAAATACACAGGTTAAGGCCACTGTTCCACACAGGAGCGTGCTTTTTCAACCTCTGGCTTTCAGACAATTTTTAGCAGAGATCCTACTTGCTGCTCCCTCTCTTCTCACTTGTTTTATCTAAGATGCACACATTCATAAAAAAGACTTAGAAAGCAAACACTTCCTGAAGTACAAAAACAGTGTAGTGCTCTCCTTCCCTCGTGACAAAGGTGTGTTAACTTTGCTTCAGCCCTGTGGCTCAGTGCTGGTGCTGTGTGCTGGTCCTTCCTGCTCATTGATGGTGTGGAGGAGGAGGCACAAAGGAGGGTTTAGGGAGCCACTACTTATCTGGTGAGCAGGCTGGGGACTTCCTGTTGGCCCACATCCAGGCCGCCTATCAACTTCCCCAAGAGCCTGCTCCTCCTCCACACAGAAGGAGGCCTGATGGCTGCAGCTGTCACAGAATTCGCCTGCTTCCTCCTCTTCCTCGTCAGCTTTCTCATGCCCCAGAAGGCTCTCTAGCTCCCTTAACTCCTTGCTTTCCTGGCCTGTACTTCCAGCTCCACTACAACCACTGCTCCCACGTGTGCCACACACACACACCTCAATCCCAGAATCACCTGTAATTCGCCGCCTCCTTCCACTGGGGAGTCGCTCTTTGTCCTCAACACTACCATCTGACAGGCTGAGATCCTTCAGCAGGGGGTTCTTGCAGGAGTCATCCCCACTTTCGCTTAGTTTTTCCTGGTTGGCGAGTCCCTCTCTGCTAAGCCCTTCTGAGAGCAGTATCACGCCTGAATTTTGTGCCGTTTGCACGGACTTGGTGTCAGGCTTTGGCCTCAAGTCTAAGGTGGGAGGTTGTGGTTCCTCTATGGTGGGCCTACAACACAGGCTATCAGAGACTGGGGGAACTGGGGAAGGCTGAATGGCTGTACAGTGTCCTTGCTGCTGCTCAGGAGCCAGTGGACTAGAAGCCACTGAGGATGGGCCAGTCTGTAAGGCACTGTAGGGAGGGGGAGGAGTTGGCGGCCGGTTGACCACCTCTTCATATTCAGGTAGGAGGTAGTTTGGCAGAAACCCTATAGGAAAAGAAAAAAAATGCTTTAAAAAGGCTATAAAAGCACATGAATAAATACATGCCATGTACACCACTGATTATACACACAGGTTTCTGACCTGCCAAAAGAAAAGAAGACACTTTGACCTCACTGAACTCCACAGACCAGAATTCAGACAGTTCCAAAACAAAGCAATAGGGTAAAAATGTGACAACAAAAGCTTATTTGTGGGTCAAGTGTGTGCTGAGGGCCATTGTAATCTCACGTTACAACAGTGGCAAGGTACCAAGACAACAATGTTGGTCATTTCCTGTAAACTGAAGCATGCAAACAGGGAAGGTTCTGGCAACACCACAACATGTGGAACCATAGAAAGAGTTCCCTGTAAACTGCATCTGTGACAGGTTCCACTGTGTAGTAGGTGCAAAGCCGTTTTTTTAAACAAGTTTAAGAATAGTATGTGCAATTTTTTTCAGTAAAAGCAGCTGCAGCTATCAGTTATTTTATTAATCGAGTAACCTATTCATTCATTAATCATGTAATCAGATAAGAAATTTGTTTTTCTTATTAATGAGCAATAATAAATACTCAAAAGTTGCAGTTGATCTGCATATTTCCAATAAACTTCTGTTGAGTTACAGCTGATTTTTCTATGTATAAAACAAAC